GGCGCGGGTTAACCGTGGCCCGTGGGAGCGCATCCCGCGAAGCCCTCGGGTTACACCTCCTTGGCCCGTGAACCGCCCGCACGGGGCACGGGTCACGGGTCGGCCCGCGGTCCCGATTTTCACGGGTCATGGCCGGCCCGTCCGTCTTGACACCTCTATTTTCCCCCTTTATATAAGGTCTACAGTGGAAGGAAGATATTTAATGAAACATACACTAGGAAAATTGCTTAACCTAATCATAAAAGCAAGCATTAATTGGGGGCTTAGAGGAGATAGAACGTGCAAAGACTCATTATTTACCACAAAACACATAACACCTACATGATATTACGGTCATTAATTTGGCCACATGTTTACAGTTCCTTCACACTTCGAAGAGTTGACATAATCTTAAGGAACATCTAGTGAATACTAGTCGAAGAGTTTGCAAAGTCAATTGTTGATCATAATCTTGTTTAGTCATGTCAGTCAAGCCTGAAAGAGGATGAGTATACTTGATTTCATGATCTATAAAACATTCTATAAGTTGTGCTCGACTATGATGTTGTCATTCAACAACACATCACTCATCACTCTGTATTGCTACATACAATGCAATGTGCGTGTCTTTAATGTACATTTCCGTGTCAGATGAGAAGAGATGTCGACCGATGGGAGCTCCCCAAGCTAGCACTGGTTCCCATCTAAGATTTATTCTTGAGCTTGTTTTATACACGTTATTTCTGAAGAATGCATTTTAGAATAATAGATTGATAGAGAATATGTGGTTAAAAATTAAGAATTTTTTTTTGAATTTGTGTATAATATTATTTTATTGAAGAATGTGTGGTTAAAAAGAATAGAGAAAAATGAATTTTGAAAATAATTTGTATCAAACAATGGCTAGAATTACCTTCTCTCTCTGAAAATGTTATGTCCTCTGTAAAATATTAAACTTTATAAATTAGCAAGATTTTTAGATTTTCCCCTTGTTTGATGATGGTAAAAAACCATATTATTAGCTTTTTTGATAGTATGAAATTCAAATTCATGTCTGTTGTGATATAAACTCGAATCATACCTTCACTGTGGCCATGTCAACAAATGGTTCTAAATGGTGTGGATTTTGGAGTGCCATTGAATGCAATTCCCAATATCTGTTAGTTTGCATGTTCCCAACAAGAATAATGCTCCTTGTTTAGAGTCAATGATAGGAGGTGACATGTGTCCTTTGTATCATCGAGCATGTAATTCACTCAGTCACTGTAGCAAGGTTGTCCCGACAACATGCCTAGGATTCAAAAATCATTATCACATTTCCTTAAACTTCATTGAATGACAACTGAAAGACACGACATTTACATACTTCAAATTAAACATACCTTTATCCCAGATCCCTTTCCTCTTTCATCCTCGAAATAGTGAATTGTATTTGAATTGCTCTATCCTCTATCGTTGAATAACTTGATTTAAAAGAGTAAAGTATTTTTACGAGATTTTTTATTTATAGAGTACTTTTATTTTATGCATAATATAGAATATGTTTAAATTTAGAAATTAAAATTTTTATGCTCTGAATTTTGTTTTATTAAAGAAACATTTAATAGTGGTAAATTGGCACAAATGGTCTCAAATCTGTGCCCAAATTGCATTTTAGTCCAAGCTTTTCAAATGTGACACAAATGGTACCAAACGTTTTCATTTTTCACACAAATGGTCCTTTTGGACTGAATCCATCCAAAAGGGCCATTAGTTAATGGGTTCAATGTAATTTCCCTTGTTTTATTTTTATATCTAGGGACAATTTTGTCAAATGACTTTCTTCACTCAAAAAGCAAAAAATAAAAAATAAATTGTAGAAAAAGTTTATGAAGCCAAAAATATAAAAAGTTCATCTTCTTCCACCCACCTGTTTAAAAGGAGCATTTGAGCAAAAAATGAAAAGGCATTTTGAGCAAAAATTGAAAAGACGCCATTTCTGCCACATTTGAAAAGTTTCGACAAAATAAAGTTTAATCATTAATTCTTTAAAATAGAGAACATCTTATATTTAGAGATCCTCTTATGCCTTTGGATGTAATTAAATGTATATCATTTAAATATTATTTTCAACATACTTTCACTTATATTTGATGTTTATTTTTTTTCCTGTATATCAAAGCTCAGTATATACGGAGAAACTTGAACACGTATAACATCATTTATCTGCTTTGATATCTTAACCTTAATGCTATAATCAACCAAATTTAAACATTATGAAAAAGGCTAATCACTCTAAATAATTGTGGAATTGGTACTCGATCCAATATTATGAAACGCGGCGTGGATCATCGAGATAGTCTATTGCATTGTACTATTCATATAGCTGAATGCCTTCACGGCTCCTAGCACGGCCTCTAGCACGACGACGTAATTACTAGTAGTGCAATTTTTTTATGTTTCATGAATATTATCATCATTAAATCGTCCTGCTCTTTTATTTCATTCCCCCCTACCCCTGCTTAAGATGGTTTTTTTATGTTCTTTTATTGATATTCCCTATTGGGTGTCTTATGATTTGTTTAGTTCAGGCACTAGAAATGCAATTTCAATTAAGATTTTTGATTGGACTTTCTTTTAACTAGCCGCAGAGTTGTATTCTTGGCTTTTGACTCAATTGATAATAAATAAAAATTGGAGACATTTAGACCCAAATTCCCGATATTCGTGCACAAATCAACGAGTCTTAATGCCTTGTGTTCTAGTATTCAAAGGAATCAACATAAATTAGAAGATGATTGTGTTGTGATATTTTTTTGGAATCGAACATAAATTCGATCTCATGGTCGTCATTGTTTTATGCTTCCACCTACATCATTCACCCTTTCGCAAATTTTGGATATTTTGGAATTTAATTGGGCTTCGAAATCGGACCTAAATTCAGATGCTTAAAAATGAAAACTTAGCCCTTTTGGAGCTTGCTACAAAGGGATTCACGGGCCTAAGATCGAATTCTATGAATACAAAATGTGAAAGAAAATGTATCATTAATTTGAGCCTGCTGTGTTTACTGCCAGACCATTTACGGCACCGACAAGAAAAATAAATGCTTGAGCCTAGCCGTGAAATTATCATTGGTTGATGAGTTGACCAAATTTTTATTTATTGGAATTTTTAGAAGTTATGTGATTTCTTTCTAAATTTGCTTATGGTTACTTAAGCCCCGTGATCCTATCGCAGTCGTAGTCGCAGTTTGCCCAAATTCGGCCGCACATTATAAATATTTCATTTAATTGTAAAATAATTGGAAATTAGAAAATTTTAGTATGATTATAGAGATTTTAAACGTCTACTCCCGTCATATGGATTTTTGTTGCTATGTCTATTATAGGGGGTATTAATCTTTCAAACATCTTTCAAACTTTCTAGTTTCGCCCCCTGCACTAGCCATTGTAATTTCATGCTTTCAATC